ACACACACACACACACACACATAAGCGCACTTATACACAAAACCACTATTGTCGCAGCCATAATCCAAGTGAAAAGCATCTTCTGGTATTGCTGCAGTGAAAACACAAGCAAATTGTCTTGACAACAAAAGGCAGCTGCGTTGCTTTGCGAGAAGCCAAAACTAATGTAAACTGGAGTGATGATCCGCAGCATCGTTGCTGTAAAGTGTGAGGCGTCTCCACCGCACACATGCTGCTTCCAACAATTTACCGAGAACAACCAGAGATGTAGTTCAACTCCTGCAATAGATGCCTGAATGTCTGGGGACTACCGTGGTGACTCTTGCACATGGAGGTTCATTCTTGACCTTGGCACTCTGAGAACATGACCTCCTGCCTGAAGCGCTGCTGCTCCTTCACATGCTGCCAAAGCAGCTTCAGCCCACCAAGGCCTGGACTACGCCAGACCTCTGAAGGTGCCCTGTGGTATCTGCAGCTGATCCTTGAAAGTTGTCATTTCGGATCACACAAGTTCCATCTCCCAACACCTCGTCATCACCTCGTGGTTCGCTCCTCCTTGGACTGTTGTGGGCAGGCACTAACCCTAACCCTAACCTTCTAACCCCTAACCCTGACCCAGAGCACTAACCCTAACCCTAACCTCCTAACCCCAAACCCTAACCTCCTAACCCCTAACTCCTAACCCTAACCCAGTGCACTAACCCTATCCTTAACCTCCTAACCCCTAACCCTATCCTCCTAACCCCAAACCCTAACCTCCTAACCCCTAACCCTATCCTTAACCTCCTAACCCCTAACCCTGACCCAGAGCATTAACCTCCTAACCCTAATCCTAACCCTAACCTCCTAACTCTAACCCCTAGCCCTGCTGTTGCAGAGTTGCTCTGATGCGGTCATTTCTTCTGCATCCAGGAAGTTAACATAGAAATGACTGTTTACTTCACATCGACACTGTTGCCCATAAAGTTGGAAAAGAATATTTTTTTACTTCTTCTCATGGAACGCTTGTGATGAATTATTCTTGACAGATAAAGTGTACAACTTCTTAAAACTTTATTGATATCACAATATACATACAAACCATATCACAGTAAGAAATGAAACCACAATTAACTTTTTCAGATTGTGTATTCAGGCTTAAACAACAACAGGATGAAGGTTTTGTTTCAGTTTTTCAACCTTGGTCCATTTTAGCAGGAAACACATATTTGAGGGGATTTCATGCAGAATGTCCAGTATCACTCTTTCAAATGTCACTCAGTCACTAACATTGAGTCTGGCCCCCTGACACGGATCAATGTGTTCAGACATGGTGGCCTTCTGTCCGCCAGCTGGTTGATGGTGTCACTGGGCAGGACGTCCAGCTCTCCAGTCAGAACTGGTTTCACCTGCTAACTGGGACTCAGTGTGTGATCACTGAATCAAAGTGATGACTGATGTGTAGAAATAGAAATAAGAAGAGAAATGTGTCTGAAAACAAACATTATTCCAACTTTACGGGCAACAGTGTGCTTTTATCAAAGATGCAAATTAATTAAAGTGATCATTTATTTTTTTTTTTTTTTTAAAAATGACTAATATAATTCATGAATACTTGTACATACCACTAAGGTGTGTGTTGTAACTGATCCATAGCTAAATGATGTACAAATGGGTAAAATAGTATTTATAAGTGAGTGCATGTAAAGAAAACAATGACACGTGTATTTGATTATCGATGTGGAATAAAGCTGACCGCTGCTTTGACACTGCATAAAACCTTTTTATTATTTTTTAAATTTTTTTATTTTTACACTTGTTGAATAAATTGGAAATATTTTTACACCATAGAAGAACAAACACGGACTAAGCCCATCTAGAGAGTGTCAGCACCAAACTGTACGACTGAACTGAACGAGTCACGGAGCCGCATTTTCCCTCTCGTGTGGTTTTTGTGCAATTTGAGAACTGCTGCCACAAGAGAATAAGATAAAATGAGTAAAATATGTGAGTTGTGCATCCCTCAGAAAGCATGTTGGAGAGATTTAGTGTCCCAACAAGATGGATTGCTTTAATCAGTGGCTGTTTGCTGTCATGTGTTTTATGTCGTTATCTTCAGTCAGTCAATACAAAACTGATAATGGGAGCGTTCACACACACACACACACACACACACACACACACACACACACACACACATAAACAATAATGCGCTGATGAAACACAACGTAAATCGAACACACACATTGTGGATCAGTGTATCTGCAGACCTGTCAGGGATGAACAGGAGGCAGAAAAAAATATATGAGTCTGAATACAGCAGATTTCAGTTCATAAATAAGAACAGCAGGAACAGGTTAGCTTGCCACAGTTACTAATTACTAAAAAAAATAAAATAAAATAAAATACTCATCTGTAGAAACTTGTTTTCTGTCCCGTGATCTCTGAGGCAGATTGCTTCTGAAACATACACATCAAATCAATATTCAGATAATCTTAGCCAGTAATCATTACTAATCAGTGCTTTTTCAAGGTCACATGTCTGAGTAAAAAAGTCTCTTTTTCATTTTATCATTTCATTATTTCTAAAAAGATTTTTTTTAAAAAACAAAAAACTTCACAGAACTGCAATCAGAAAAGGCAAAACACACGATGAAAGGAAACCTTTACGATTCTGAGTGATCGCACGACACAACGTTGAAAATAATCAAGAAACAACAGTCTGGACAAGAAGGTTTATGTGTTCAACGTATAACAAGTCTGATTTGTCGTCTGGATGCAGCTAGACTTTGTTTCTAGAGCAGCAGCAGTGAGGTCACCATGTGGACATCTGACATGTCAATAAAATAGCATTAAAATCATTCATAATCTCATTTAGTAAAACTCCTGACATCAAAATAGAGAGAGAGGGAGCTGACTTGGGAGGAAGGTGAAGCAAAATTTAAGATAGCAGCTTTTCTACAAAAACAAAGCTCCATCTACAATTTTTTTTTAAACGGTGCAACTGCAGGCAAACCTCTGAGGGAGTCCGACGCCAAGACGTTGGAGGTAGATTCCTAAGATCCTGTAGGTGTCGGGGCGAGGGGGGTTTATTCCAGCACATCCTGGAGACTCTTGATCAGTTTGAGATCTGGGAGGTTCCTCGAGGTGTTCCTGTCAGGGTGCTGGGGAGAACTTGGGAGAACTTTGTCTGGAACTGTGTGAGGATCCAAGGTTTGTAACGTCCATTTACTTCATCACTGTGAATGAATGGTAGCAAAAAACACTAATGACCAATGATTCCCAACTGGCTGCGCATGAAAATATTGTGGAATATCTCAATTATTTAAAAAAAAGAAAAGAAAAGAAAAAAGAAAACGTAGTCGTTATATTTCCACCTGAGCATCACATTTTAAAAGTGCACATGTCTACCTAGAAGTAACTAACAAAAGACAATCATCCCAAAATAAATGTCACAAATTAAGACAACAGGTCTGCAAAACAAAATCTCTTCTGTTGTCTCCAAACTAACAGTTCTGAGCTCAGTCCTTCCAGCTGTGGTGGGAGTCGTAGTTATGATTGTTCACACCCTGCTTCTGTCTTTAGCTGTGCATGGTGTCTTTTCTTACTTCCATTTCTTGACATGAATGAACACACATTTAAACCACTGAACCTGAGCTGAGGCAGCAGGTGCGATGAGTAATGGAAGTGTAGCCGGCTGTAGAAGACGATGATGTAAAGTCAGTCTATATGTTGAACAAACAGTAGTAATAAGCACAAACTTTATCACATTTATAGTTTTATAGTTGTGTCACTGATGATTCATGATGTGTTCATTATTTCTGTTGGGTGTCGTGGTCTGATCCCTTTGCGTCGGACGCTCGGTTTCCCTGCAGCTGTTCTCTCTGAAGGCTGCAGTGGTGCCGTTTGTCCTTCAGGGGGCTCTGTGTGGTTGTCTGCTCGCCTTCTGCCGTTCCACGTCAGTGCTCATTGCTGCTGCTGCTGGTAATAGTAGTGGTAGTAATGTGTTGGTAAGAGCTGGAGTCGTTGGTTTACAGTGCACATGGTGAACCTCTAGGTGTCACCCATTATCTAGCTGTTAAGGCAACAGACGAGGGTGGAGTCTCCACAGAATCCAAAGCCCTCCACGAAACTCTCTGCACCTCGTCTCCTCACAGCAGCTCCTTCCATCACATTTTCCCCACCAGCCTGCTCACACCTGAATCCGATCCCTCTTCGCTTTGTGAATTCAAGTGGCTTTGAGACTGATGAATACCCAACATTTGTGGGTTTTTTGTTTGTTTTTTCCAGAGCTGACAACCATCCCGACTGCATTCAGTCATTCAGTGTTCGATGCTTCAAAGCCTTTGTTTGAACCGTGTTGAACAAATTAAAACCAATGACAAGAACCACATTGTGTGATGTGAAGAAGGAGCCTTAGTGAGGAGTGTTTTCATGGACTTTACCGGGCCAGATCTTCTTTGATGTGTCCATATTGTTTATTAGTCTATAATACAGAACACATGGCCGACACAAACCACAAACAGATTATAGTGACGTGAAACAAACAAAGACTTGCAGTTTAATGGACTATTTCTTTTTCTCCTGATATGTGGTGAATTTCTGGACTAACTAATAAACTGAGACTGAAACTTGTTTGAAGTAAAATGTCCATTTATGAGCTCTTCTGGGCTCAAAGAGAAATCCTTTAAGTGCTAATTTGAACATAATAATGATTCTGACAGCTGGGAAAAGTCCATCTGTTGACGAAGATATGGCTGCTTATATGTCTGTTGTGTAATTTGTCTTTGGGTAAAATTATGAAGACAATCTAGATTCTTATCATCTTGAGAGACGATCATTTGAACTAAACTGTAGATGAGAGCCTTACAACCAAACAGCTACGAACCACAGACACAACCGAACACTGTTTGTGTATGAATATTTTATTTGTGTATCATCCCCTTCCCCACAAGAATCCACAAAGACAAGTGTCTATTAATTCATTAATATCTTCATGTATACATATCATCGTGACAAATAAAAAAGAATCACAATACAAAAGACAATTTAAATATGTAGAATGTCGATCGCATGTCAAAGTCTTGATTCAACGTTTTGTACTCAACATGCATTCAAAATATAAAAATAGACTTCTGATTAAGTTTATATACACTTTTTTTTTTTATAAATATAAGTATACAAATGTATTTTTAAAATACAAAGATAAATACCGTCACATAGTGTACATTAGGTACCAAACCAGCAATTAACAAACATTTTTTTTGGATATTTAGCATTCACAAAACACAATTATTACATTAGAAATGCAACTTTAACGACAATTGCAGGTCTTGTTTTTTTTTGTCTTTGTTTCTTATGGAGTAACCTGTCTGTCCTTCTTTTACACCCACAGCCCCTGACTGAAGCAGTGAGTGGGTGATGAATAAATATAGAGGAGAAGAAACAGGGAGTCTAGCTCTGCCGGACGTCCTGTAACAGTTTGTTAATCTCGGCCACCAGCTCACTTGCATCCACCAGCTCGTGTCGGCTGTCGCTACGTTTGCCATGAAGGTGGCTGAGCACTGAGTCAAAGTCATCCTCCTCATAGTTCTCTGGGATCTCCTCCATGGCCGGCAGCCATTTGGAGGAAGGCCCTGGGAGTGGCACCGGCACCGGCACCGATGCCGGCGAAGGCTGCACTAGTGTGGGGCTAACCAACGCCGTCAGCAGGGGGCTACTGTGGGGTTTGAGAGCGTGGCCGCTGTTCTGGGGGCTGTTTTTGGGCGCTTGTGAGCCCTTGTGGCTGCTGCTCTGGGAGCTGAGCTTGGTGCTGGGTTTCAGGGTGTGGTAGCTGCCTCCCTGGTGGTGGCCAGATGGGCCGATATTACTCCCCGGGTTCTGGAAATGGGTGTTAGCGGCCCAGGCTGCCACACCCTGCTGATGGACGGAGGGGCTGGGCTTGCCAGGCAGATGACTCCTCCTGCGATCTAAAGATCCAGTCATGGGTACACCCACCCCGCTCAGGCTGGTCCCCTTTTGAGTCTCGCTGACCTGGACATACGAGTCCAGGCCCTGGGGGAGCAACCTCTGGAACACGCTGCTCATCTCTGACAGCAGCGACGTGGTCCCACAGAGGTCTTCATCTCTCACTTCGCCACCACTGCCATCTCCCCCTTCTTCTTCCTCTCCACCATCCTCCCCACCCAGGTCCTTGCCGAAAGTGGAGAAGCTCTGGTTTCGGGCGGGACCCGTGTCGGTGCAGGGCTGCGGGGTCTTTTCCTGGGAGTGCTCGGTGTCCTGGCGGGCTTCTTCCCCGGGGATGTAGAGGTTGCTGCGGTAATCAGAGGAAGAAGAGGCCGGAGAGGCCAGGGGGGGCATCCAGCACTGGTCTGAGTGACCCAGGACACGACACTCCTCTGTGCAGAGCCGCATCGCTGAAGAAAGACAAAGAAACAGCCATGAGTGCAAACGCTTCACGAGTTTGTCTCAGTGTTGATCGTAGCGCTGTCGATTAATTGCTTTGTACAACCAACAATCCAAAAGCCAAAAAGATTTCATCATAAAAACAGAAGAGAGCTGGAATCAAAGAATGTTACAGATTTGTTCTTGAATAAATGATCGGGACTCTTCATCCATCAAACTACACATTGATTATGACAATTACAGCTTGTTTCATCAACTGTGTGTGAAGGTGTGCACCAGTGTCAATGAGTACAACACAAACAGGGCAATTAAAACCTACATATAGAGCCACTGCTCAGTGGAAACCATGACACTATGAAACAAACTGAAACTAGTTGAACTGGACTCTATGAAATGATCCTATGGCATTCTGTGCATGAACATTGTTTGTATTTGTAGCAAACAACCTTAAATGTGATGATAAAATCAAAGGGATGTGAAGTAGATTCGTGTCAGTTTGGTGTTTTTCCATCCAGCTAATATTTGCCAGCTTGTCCTTAGGTGCTTTATTGCCACTGTCTGTGGAAACACAGCTGAAATCTGCCCTAATTAGTCTGAAAGGCTCTCTGCAGGAGTTCTGCCTGTTACCTTCCAATGTATTTACCACAGAGAGACAATTCAGCAAGGCCGATCAATGCCTATTACCCGTTCTGAATAACTCCTCCTCTAAAAGCCCTGCATTTTTCCCTTTCAAGTCACTCTTTTCAATATTAAATCTTCAAATAGAAAATCTCTGAAGAATAAATTAGACAAATCAAATATGCCAACTTAAAGCCTTCATTAAAGGACTGCGGCGCTTTTCAGTCGTGCTATTGAGGGACTTCATTATCCCCTCATTAACATGAAAGGAACATTTATAATACATCTTAGAGCAGATGAAAAGTGCATTTGGTTGCACTGGAAGGGGAAAAAAACCAACGCGGGGGCTGAAGCAGATTGGGTGCCCCGCTGATGAAAGGCTAAAAATGAAAGATTTAACCCAACTGATTTGTGTGTGAAAATGGGAAAAAAAAGGAATGCATCAAGCAAACATGAACTGAAAGGCTGACTGTAACGTCAATTCAAGTGACAACCGACTGATTCACTTGCCAGTGAATCCTCTGACTAGTTTACTTGTGATACCCGGACAGCAAGGCTCAGTGGTGATTATGTGCTTGTTTGGGGTTATTTTCTTTTCTTTTCTGAGATTTAATTATATTGTATTTTATCAGAAAACTATTCAGACTTTTAACTGTGATGAGAAGAAGCATGAGGGCTGTTGTCAACCGAGCAGAAAGATCGACAAGGAGTATTGGCAATGAGACCTAAAGCAGACCCGGGACATCTTTAAAGGGGCGTTCTGATGATTTAATGTGGCAGTCGTGTGATGTCGGTGCAGCTGTAAGAGACGATTCATTGATTAAAATGAGCACGGTCAAACTGATGCACTACAGGCTGACATTTAGCTCCTGCTACGGAGTCGAGTTCTAACAACACTGCTTCCAACGTTAATACAACAGGATGTTGTCTTTCATTAGACACTCCATGCCGAGTAGGTTTCAGTCTCCTCGCCCTCAATTTGTGACACAAGCTCAAACAACCCAGATGATATAACGAAGACATCATCAAGTAGCAAACCAACCTGGACTTGCAGATCTGGTGGTCTTTTAGCTGATTTGTAAGTCACCTCTGCCTACATTTAACAACCCTGTTTACTCTGCATCCAACATGAGACACGAATGGGGTCAGGCTGGACAGCAAGTATATTTTTAGACACTGTTCAGGTGCTCATAGACAAACTGGTCTCAGTGTTCTGCACTCTGCACACCAGGAGATAAGACATCCACTCCAATCTGTCGCACAAACAAACACCTTGTGCTTTTTTTTTTTTTAAACCCCGAGCAAATGTCCTTTGAATTGCTTTAAACATGCACACAACACACGTGATGCTACTTTGGCCACAGTGTCATGTGGCCTGAGGCTTGCCGGTTGTCTACGGGTGTTTTGGACAAGACTTCCAAACCCGGGCAGGGAGCCGGCTGAGCGCTGCTCAGAATCATCTATGCTGCAGTGGACACGGGGGTGGGAGGCGGGCTGAACATACAGAAGGAGAAAGGTGAGCTTTGAGATGTAATTATGCTCTTGAGGGCTTCATCATGAGTGCAACTCGGAGCCAGTTCCATAGCAACTATTCGCCACATGGCAATTAAATGTCTCCTTTTCATCAGCGGAGCGCGAGGGCTTCGGTTTGGACGGCTGAAAGTGAAAGCTTGAAGTTGGGGAAAAAGTAGAGTGACTAACGAGCTGAGCTCCTCCACAAAGCTGTAAAGAAGGGGAGGGAGGGAGGGAGGAGGTGTTAGTGATGAGATTGTCTGCCCGTCTGGGTCGACTCTAATTGGGATGTAGCTCAAATGCAGTATCGAGTGATGGCTGTGTGGGAAGCTGGCTGGAAAGAAGCGAGAGCTCTGGGAGGAGAAGGATGGCATGATAAAAGAAGCTGCGACAGCTTGCAACCTGTCTGACGTTGAGACAGGCGGAGACTGAGGAATTTTAGAGTGTGTGACCGAGTGTTTTCTATTCAACTACTCCACGAAGCCTGCCACATATGTGATGCCAGCTGATAGAATACTTCAAAGTCAGTAGGGTCAATCAACAGGTGTTCAGAGTTCTCCCTTGTTAACTCGACTGTGGAGAGGATGGCAAGTCCATGCAGTGCGACAGCAGGGAGAAGAGATGGGTGGCTGTAAGAGACGATCAGTTGAGCTATCTGGAGAGATATCTCAAGGAACTTAGTGATAGTGAGGCGGTTGGATGCATACGGTATCATTCACAATCCTCCAAGGTCAATGCACATGCAGACAGTTCTGATGCAGAACAAAAAACAAATCATGCCGATTTTACTGAAACAGGCAGCAGACAGAGTGAAACAGGTCAGAGCAGGTTTCAAACCCCGTTCACAGACCACAAAACTCTCATCATCCCAACAATAGATTTGTCACTGGGTCATGTGGATGTTCTGGTTTTTTAAGAGGATAATGGAGTTCTAAAAATCTTAACACAATACTTGTGTCCCCTTTAGATGTGCAGCGATATTGAAATTGATCGCTTCCTAGCTTGACTTCTTTGTGGAAGAAAGGGGCAAAATCTACAGTTCCTATTCAGTGCAAGAATGCATTCTGACGTTTAGCTTAAGCTAAAAGGAGAGTTAGTCAAAATAAGTCTTCAGACGTTTACTTTTTTTTAATTTTTTTTTGCAAATGAGCCTCCCTCTTTGTGCTCCTGCGCCTACATAACTCAGCAGGAAAACACTGCATTAACTTTAGAAGATAACTTTCTTGGGGATTTCAAACCATCCTGTTCCCGTCAGATGACCTCTAGATGGGGTGCTACCCCAAGGTTCAAAAACTCCAGCTCAGCCCTGTTCAGCCGTTCATATCTACGATTCAAGAAGACGTGGGTGTGTTGGGGTGAATGGCCTCTGGTTACTGTCCATGTCGTAGCGCACAGGACATGTAATAATTAATTACACTGAACAGACGGATCTTTTGAATAGTTATTTAGTCGATAAGTTAATTAGATTTTTTTTTCCTAAATTACAAGCAAGTTATGCAGTTAAAGTATTTCTAAGATGCACTAACACTGGAAATAACGTCCAGTAACAGTCCCACAGTGATTGTTCAAATGGACGACAAACAGTATGTGTGAGAGTTAAATAAAACGATGCATCGCAAAAACGGATCAAAAGAAACCTGGACTTTGGCTTTAGCACTAGATGCTAAACCAGCAGGAGGAGGGATGATGGGAAACGATGGGATGGTTGTAGGGTGTGCAGGATGGAGTTGGGGGGTGTACCTGCATGCGGTCTGTGCTGGCCATCAGGGGCATATATCTCAGTAAAGCCCTCACCAAGGAGCCTGTCCATGGGTGACTCCCTGCCAGGCTCGTAGTCGCTGTCGCCGGCCTCGCTGTCTCCACGACCGCTGTCCTTCAGACTGAACTTATCCATCTCGTTCAGGGCGTATCTGCACAGAGGCACACAGAGGTTTGATGCGTGACTCACTGACAGTAATATTATCACAGGTACGGAGACCCCGTGCTGCTGATGGATAATAAGTTGCACAGAGAGGCAGAGAGTGCTTTGCAGAAGAGGTTTTACATAAAATTATGCAAATGTGAAGTTATTGAGCATACAGTTTGACTCAAAAAGCTACTGGATATTGATAGAAGGAACTGTGTAAAAGTGCTGAGAGTATATAGAATCATGTTGGAAATGTTTTACAGGAATGTCATAGAAGGACACAAAGTGGTGCTCCTTGGTTCTGCCTGAGTCTGACAACAAAGTCTTCCAGACCATCGCTTTACATGCACATTACCTGTAGCTCCTGGTGTATTTGTTGCCTCTGAAGCTTGGTCGTGGCTGGTACTGGCCCTGATGGAGCATGGACAGAAGCTGTGAAACTTGCTACAATCCCAAGAGAAACAAACAAAAAAAGACAAAGAAAGAAAAAAGACAAAAATAAAAGGAAAAAATGAAGAGGGGAAATGAATGGAGGCAAACAAGCAAGGCCACAAGACAATGTTGGGGGTTGCGGAGGGTGCATTGTGGGGAAGGGGTTCAGGGGGTTGGCATGACCTTGTGACTTGCTCCTGAATGTGATGGTCAACAAAAACATGATACAAAGGGCTGAAGGAATATGGGGGCAAGGAATAAATTCAGAACAAATACTGAATATAAGACAAAAACCATGCACAGCATATTATCTTGGATCACATCTTGGTTTTAAAAATGCATATTTAAAAACTTAACCATTTTTAATTTAGCTGCATGTATATATATACTACACTACTTTTAGCAAAAGAAAAACAACAGCAATGACATCTGTATTTAAACATTTAAAGACAAAGCATGAAAAAAGTGCATGTCTTACCTCTACAGGAGGCGTGGCGTGGGCCAGCTCTAAGGCAAAGTTTTCTGGCACATGATTGGAGGAGATGGTGACCAGGCTGTTGAGTGACTGGCGACTATGATGGCTCTGCCTGCTCCCCAGGGTGCCCCTTTCAGGTGTAGGGGAAGGCGACGGCGAGCGTGGATGTGCTCGCACCGGTAGAGTACCATTGACAGTCGGGACCAGGGTGATGTCTGCCTTGTGTATTTGCCTGGCAGGCTTCTTGGGGTGGTTCTGGTAGCTGTTCTCTGCAACACGGCAGTTATAGTTGTGTCTGGGGTCTTTCTTCTCACGGCTGCAGCGGGCAGTGGCGAACATAACCATGACGATGAGCAGCAGAGCACAGACAGCACCCAGAGATATGATGACAATGAGGGAAAGGTCCAGCGAGGCCTGGCTGGAGCCTGTAGGGTAGAGGGGGGGAAGTATGTCCATGTTCTCCTGCAGGGAGAGCCTGAGGAGGGCTCCTGTGGACAGTCGGCTGGTACCCCTGTCCTGCACTTCTACCCTGATCTCCATAACATCCCGTGGAGCCTGCTCCAGACTGGCATTGGTTCTGAGCTCACATCGCCGCGCATCCATCACAAACAACCCGTCCTCGTTACCACCAACAATGGCGCAGCTCACCTCTCCATTGGCGCCTGCATCACGATCTGTGACTTTAAGCACAGTAATCAGCTGACCCGGCGAGGCGTACTTCCACACTGGAAGCTCAGCAGTGTGGTTCCGGAGAGAGGGGGAGTGGATGATGGGTGGGTTGTCATTCTCATCCAGAACAGTGAGCAGGACTGTGGTGTTGGCTGACAGCGCAGGATTCCCTCCGTCGCGAGCCTGAACAGTGAAGGCAATCCGGCTGACGTCTTCATGGTCAAAGCTGCGCAAGGCATAGATGGCCCCATTGGATGGGTCAATGGTGACGTAGGTGGAGATAGGACTCCCTTGGATCAGAACATCTATGACAGTGTAGGTGACCTGGCCATTGGTGCCCAGATCTGGATCTGAGGCCACAACAGTCATCAGGTAGGCTCCAGGGGAGTTGTTCTCAGATTTAAAGACCTCGTAGCGACTCTTCTCGAAACGTGGGGGATTGTCGTTTTCATCCAGCACCTGAACAGTGAAATGTTTGATGGTGGACAGACTGGGGGAGCCCCTGTCCTCAGCAATGACCGTCAGACTGTACTCTGACCTCTTTTCTCTGTCCAGCGAGACGTTGGTGAGGATCATGTAGTTCTTCTCGTAGGTCTTCTGCAGCCTGAAGTGGCCGTGACCATGTAGCCTGCACACAACCTCCCCGTTGAGCCCTGCATCGCTGTCATCAACGCGCACCAGAGCTATGAAGGTGTCCACGGGGGCTCCCTCTGAAATATAGGCCACTTCCTCTTTGCCAGGCGTCATCAGGTTGATGTTTATCTCTGGTTTGTTGTCATTCACATCCACCACTTTCACCACAATTTTGCAAAGTCCAGGAATGGAATTAGGGCCCAAGTCCTGAGCCTGAACATCCAGCTCATAGGAAGCAGTGGTTTCATAGTCCACTTTTTTAATCAGAGTAATGTGGCCATTTTCTGGGTTTATCTTAAACGTTTCCAAGATCTTTGGCGAGACGTGACTGCTGAAAGAGTAGACTATTTTCCCATTAGTGCCCTCATCTGGATCTGTGGCATTTAAATCAATTAAAAGTGTCCCCAGAGGAGAGTTTTCCAGCAAATTGATTATATATGCCTGCTCATCAAAGGCTGGGCTATTGTCGTTGGAATCAGAGATACTTATCTTGACCAAAGTGGAGCCAGACTTGGGGGGCACACCATTATCTGAGGCTGTGAGCTGCAGCTGGTAGCTGGACTGCACCTCCCGGTCCAGCTCCCTCATCACCACCAGCTCAGCGTACTTGGCTCCGTCTGTCCGGGTTCTTATGTCGATCTTAAAGAAGTTATTAGGCGTCAGGGAATACGTGTACAGGGAGTTCTCCCCGACGTCCGCATCCACGGCCCCGTCCAGGGGAATGCGCGTCCCCACTGATGCGCTCTCGGAGATCTCAATGGGTACGATGGCACGGGAGAAGTGCGGGGAGTTGTCGTTGATGTCCAGCACTTCCACCTCCACATGGAACAGCTGCAGGTACTCCGTCGGCAGCGTCACCACGTCGAATTCAATCGAGCAGTTCAAGTTTTTCTCACAAAGCTTTTCACGATCGATTTTGGTGCCAATGCTGATCTCCCCGTCCTCTTCCCGGACAGACAGAAACGGCGTACTCCCTCGCTGCATAGCGCGGAACCGAAAGGTCAGGGAGCTCGGTAGTTTGGATAAAACCCCTGCTACGTCCTCCTTTAACCGTGCGATAACTGTTCCCACTTTCTGCTCCTCGTAAACTTTGTATTTCAAAGTCTTACCGTCGGTGCCATGCAGGAGCGCGACCAGAAGCAGTAGTTTGAGTAGTGCCGAGGAGAATATATTTCCTTTGGTTTGAACCATGTTTGCCCCCATCTTCTGCGCACACAAGGTTGAGATTAGTTCCACAGAGGAGGAAAAAATCAGGGGGGTGGGGAAGGGGAGAGAGGAGGAAAAAAAACGTCTTCTCAGAAATCTGGCATGTTAAATCCTTCGCTGCAGCGCACTGTCCAAAAAACTCCGCAGAACAGACAATACAATAAATAAATGAATAAATAGAAGTAGATGGACCTCGTGGAAGCGGATGGCGCGCACAGGCAAACTGCGGCGCTCTTTCTGTGGGCTGATCTGTTGCATGTATCCACATATGCCCGCCGCCTCCTGTCTGTGCGCCCCAGTGAATGAGTGAGAGTGTATGTCTGGGCGAAGAAAAGGCGCAGCTTTCTCCCAGTCTGTGTGAGTAGAAGTGAGAGAGAGAGAGAGAGAGAGAAAGAGAGCGAGAGAGCGGGAGGGAGAGAGAGGAGGTGGAGGAGGGGGTCAGTGTGTGCGCGCGTGCCCTGCTCCGTGCGCTCTGCTCCTTCGCCGCTGCGCTCTTTCTCTCCGCCCGCCCCGCACCCAAACTGCGTCTCTTTTCCACACAAAACACTCCCCCCGCTGCCTCCCTCCCTCCTCCTCGACTCCCTCTCCTCCTAAATCACCAGAATGCCCTCCTTCAAGCAGAACAGGAGGGACTATTGATGGCAGCCCCGTCCCCAGCCCCCTCCACCCTCATTCCCCCAGAGCCCCCCCACCAACACAGAGGACACCCCAGTCCTAAAAGTGTGTCACAACAATGGGCCAGAGGAGGAATTATTCTGGGCTCAGCCACTTTTAACACAAGCGCAGAGTGACCCGCGGCAGACTTACATTGTTATGGCCGCATTCACAACGTGTGCCAATTCGAGTCTTTTGTCGCGTGTGCGTAAAAACGCAAAGTTGTCGCTCTCAGAATAATGCTAAGAGGAAGGGAAGTGCCCATCACTCCGCGGCAGTTTTGTGATGAAATCTAATATTACTATCGATATGAGTATAGCTCCCCTATGAAATGCCTTGTCTCTAAACTGTCTTGCGATGATCCTTTTTATTTTTTTGGACAAAATTTTCGTTTCAGGGCTCATGGCTTCGCTTTTTTTTTTTTTTTAATCGCTGTTTGTGCGAACAAGGCGCAATTACGCACATCATACCTCCCATCAGTCATGTACTTATGACAATAAATCCCGATCTGCCTCTCTGATTGACTCACGAGCAAGTTTAGTCAGCTTTAGGTTGGAGAGGAGACACTAAATAAACCCACAAGTTGTTGTGTTCATGTGACCTGGGCGCTACTTTAAGACCAAAACAAAAACAAGGAGCTGTATAATCTAATGGCCATCATATTTCCTTCATTTTTGGGGGCATTGTATAGTAATATGTATATATACCCTTCCTGTACTCTCTTTTGGAATTCTCATGTCTGTAAGTGTATTTAGATCTTCTCAACAAATGGCTCATAACTTAAACAGTAGTGAAATTTCCCTTTAAAGAACAAAATAAAAAAGCACAGGGATGTTTTTTGATGGTCTTATTTAACTGCAACTCTATCAGATATATTCTCTCACACACTGAGGCTTAAGGCATGGCCAGTGCTCTGACATCCACCCAGCTGACCCCCACGTGTGTCTTTTCACAAACCTCCTCCTCCTCGAGCTGCATAATAATGTTTTATGGAAGCCTACATCTCCTGATCCAACCAAATTACCATCCTGCACACTCAAAGTGTCGCTCAGAGAGCAAACAACTGGGCAAGGGAGCTTTATGAGAGCAGCACCGGGCCATCTGGCCCGAGCCTCAGACAACCCAAACCTACAATTACCATCTATTCAGTCCCTGCTGCCCCCCAGCCAGAGTCACCAAGTGAGAATTAGCCCCAGCTCATGTCAGATAAAATCTAATTTCCTCATCATGTTGCCATGGAAAAACTGTTTTCTAAAGTACACTTGTATGAGTTCAGTATTCAGCAGTAATGAAGGAGAATCTGTGCGCTTTGGACCGACTTTATGTGGATGTCATAGCTGCTGTTATTTTTCAGTGAAACAGTAAGAAAAGGGGAGGGAGCCGCAAAGAGCTCCGATGGGCTGATAAGTCTTTTTATAGCATGCAATAATCCATGTGGCCCTGCTAAATGTGTTAAAGTTCACATCACAGCAAACATTTCAATGCTACATCCTCATCAGCGTGTCACAGCATCCAGAAGCCCATTTTAAAGGTTCCCCAGATTCCATTTTCCCCAAATCATTCACAAAGTAATGGGTCGCACTGCGCAGACTTATATTCTCAATAAGCTCCATTTGGAGTGCCGAGCCATATCTGATAACCGCCGCTCTGATTGGTTTCAACGGAGCAAATTATCTGGGGCCGGCATCTTTGAGAGGATGCGTCTCTGTGATGGATTTTATCTGCATTTTAAATTCCTATGTGTGACCCGTGGGAACGGGCTCTCTGCGCCGCCATCTGTCTCTGAGCAAACACATGGACATCGGCTCCTCGCTCATATATACACAATGTGGTGCTGAGTGACTCCACAAGGGCAGAGAGTCCATACAGGCCCCGCTTTAAAGAGCTTCATTTGAGGTGTTTTGTGCAGCATCATGTTGGTAATTACGGTGGTCCAAAGTATTTCTGAAACTCACTGAGCACTGAGTTTATGTCCTTTGATTTGGATGGCTGTTTGCTGCTGCTGGATTTCCTACGATTCCTTCAGGCATTCTGTGACAGAGAATCAAAGTGTTGATGCCACTTGCTGTCAGTCTTGTGACAAGGCAAGTGCTCATAGAAAAGGAGCTCATGAAGACGCATTTATATGTTCTCTACTATAATTCATGATGTTAGTGACAAAGTTTGCCTCACTGAACTACATTTTTGTCTGTTTTGTGACTTTAAGCGCTTGTAAGCGACACAGTCCTAGTTTTATCGAGCCGATTACGCATCAACAGAAGCGGTACGCGCCGCACTTTGGTGTCTCTCCCGGGAGCAGACGCGCTCTCCTTGCACGTCTACAACAGCAGAAAGCCGCAGATGAAAGAATCCCGTAACGTATAACGACGTTAGCCACGGGCCGGTGCCCCCTCCAGACACATCCTGCTGCTGAGGTGCTGACGGCGCCCTAATGGCTTTGCTTATATCGGGGACGCGCACAAATCACATTTTCCTCTGCAAAAGAGGAAAAAAGAAAAGCTCGACACGTTACACAGATTTCAGCCAAGAAGTTTCTTTAATCCCACGAGAGCTGCTGCTGCTGCAGAGCTGCACCGGGGGAATGTTGTGTGTGATACTAATCCAACCCAACACTCACACCACCTCATCTTCACCAGGAAAACACACCCATGCAAATTAATAGAAAACTTCCCACCAGCACATCATAGTAATAACGTGAAGATGATGATTCCCTTGTAATATTTCTAAATGCCAATGCTCAAGTTCAGTAAACTTAACGTTCCGGGAAAAATAATGAAGATAATTTATTTCACTTTATCTTCTCCGTGAGAAGGCAGACGGGGCTGCTGCGTCATCCCAGGCACCTCATATGGCCAGTTGGAGGGAAGATGACCGGGTGGGTGATGGGATGGGTGTGGAGATTCTGCCCTCGGGGACCATAAAATTACTGAAAAGAGTTGGGTGAGGGGGTGCGGGGCTGCAGGATGAGGGGATCAGCAACTTTGTCATTGAAATGAAGCAGGGGATCCCCATGACAAAGGCAGCATAGCAGGTGGAGAGAGGGCGGCGCAGGGGGCCCTTTCCAAACCACCCCCTCAGGAAAACCCATGCGCACCAGGAGTGGTGGTGGTGGAGGCGATGGGGTTTGGGAACATGAGCATGCATGTGCACCCTCAACTTTTTCAGATGTTAGGGAAGAGTTAAAAGACGGAGCCTACAAGAAATGCGCAAATCTCACCAACACCCGTGGATAATTGGTAACGAGAGAGAAAAAAACAGCAAGAAGGAAGACGGCAGCGCCACAGTGTTCCATAACAGCTCCGTCAGAACAGCACTTCTAGATTCATTTAGGTTCCAGATTCAGCGGTTCTTCTCCCATCAGGCGGCTGGGGGGGTGGGGGGGTGTCTCGGCGTGCGTCGGGGGGGTCGGGGGAGGATTGTAAAGGCACGCGAGCATCTGCCACTATCTCATTAGCATGCTGTTAGCTCGCGCGACGGAAGGGATTTGGGCTGGGAGGAGAAGGGAGTCAGGGTCCCCCCCCTCCAGCCTGGCCGTGGATGACACATCAGCCTAAATTTAAACGTGACGCACCAGCAGCTGATCACTGATTCTGGTGTCGTGCATGACAATATGTTGTGTGACTCACTCCAAATCATTTACAACCAATAGGAACATCCACACAGAATGAAAGGAGGAATCCATCCTCACCGGCCTCTGTCCGTCTTCATTCACACCTGTTAGACACGTTCTTCCAAAACATTCCACCAGATGTTGGAACCTGGTGAGATGATGCGCCGCTGGTGTTGGGACATGAGGTCTGGTCCGGAGCCAGCTGAGGTCAGTGCTCTGTGCAGGCCAGCCAAGTTCCTCCTCAACACCTGAGGAAACATGCATAAGGGTCATGAGGAGGGGAAACCAAATGCTGTTAGCACATCATTGTCTGAAACATAATTGTGTGCTGTGTCATGAAACCTTCCCCTTATCATAAAAAACAAAGAAATAAACAATGAAACTTACATGTCTAGTCCACATACTCTGGGGACTATCATGAGGAATCCTAAGTATAAATTATCCTAAACACAACTTATACAAAACAACACAACGCATTTTCCCCCAAAGCTGTTTATCCAAGGTTAAATATTTAATTTTAGAGCAAAACTCTTTTTCTGTCCTCATGCACAGGCCTGATGTTACCAAACCTGGAAACCTCACGGTGCTCACTGCCCCTAAAGCTGTTCCAGAAGGAAAAGCTCCATAATGCTGTAATAAAGCTTCAGACAGAGCAAGACGAGCCGTTTCCCCTGCTTCCAGTCTTAATGCTAAGCTAAGCTCATCATGCCTGATGCACACACATGAGATTCTGTTTTTACCACAATCTGAAAGAGAAACTGAAAAAGCATATTTGCTCAACAGCTGAATTGCTGCTTTAAAGGCAGACGTCACACTACCCGGTGCACCCACACCTACAGGCTTTCAGAGACCGACTGTATTTCAAGAGTTGTTTTGTGATGAAAACTTGCAAGTTTTGCTTTTTCTCCGCAGTCTCTGCCCACATTGTCTTTCCCTGCATAAGGTAGTAATTACATTGCTAGAGAGGAAAGAGCATCCTTGTTAAGTTGTGACGGCGACGACAAGATGTTGAAAAATCCCACACAGAGAAGGACGACAGATTGTACGG